TCTACATCTCACTTCATGTAATCACAGCCAAATATTAACTCAAATTAGAGAAACAGGCTGAAACTTTATTGATATTGACGAGAAACAACTGCTCTGAATCTGTGTCATGAGCAGATGTGACATCGTCTGATGTGGTTCCACATTAAATGATTTATTCAGACGTGTGACATCAGATTTAGATTCTTGCTTGATCAGCTGGAATAACATTAATTAAAGTAAATCTGGTGGCAACCAAGGCCGGACGAACAAGGCTGGAGATGTTCTATCTACGTGTGAGATGATGCCGTGGCTTGTGTCCTTCTACAGCGTTAGTTGTGGACGTCCTTGATGAATAACGCTGCGTAGCCCCAAGATGCAGAACCCGTGAACCGTGGAGGCTGGACCTGCCGTCACCTCAGAATCAACCAGACACCGACCTCGCTGAGTGCCGCCACCGTTACTATAGAGTTAAAAGTTGTTTACAGCTGGGTACTGGGGAGTACCCTCTGGGGCACAATCAAATGAAAATCAGCTGAAGTGACGATGCAAGGTGGCGATGGTGAGCATCAGAAATCTGAATTTACAGCGAACAGTGACATCGGCAGGAGTGAACACGTCGAACCCTGCAGGCTCAGTGTCCACAACAAACACCATTTCATTTGCTTCCCTCTTCATGTCCTGATTGAATCCTTTATATAAGAATCCCAAAAAACAGTAAAATCAGCCGACCGGACTAAATCTCCACCATTCGATTTCCTGCTTGTTCATAAAACTGGAGCTACGTACCGTAATCCTGCTACTTGTTGTTTAGGCGCACAAAGAGTCAACGTGGAGTTGGACATCCGCCTAACTAGTGATGAAGGGGGTGGACGCCGTCTCATCACGTGCTGCTCTGAGGTGGAACACTCCCTGGCTTCAACCCTAGCACATGACAACTTCATAAAAACAATAAATAACTGAGAAGTAACACAACCTCTGGACACAACAACGAATCCCTGAAGCCTCTTACGGAGCAGCTCTGAAGCCTCCAGGCCCTCTGAAGCTGCTGCTTCGCATCATGACGGCCTCCTCACGGTGCTGCACAGCCTCAACCTGCAGCGACTGCAGAGCAGCAGCAGCTGCACTTTGCTGGGACGTGATGATGACGACGGTGTAAATACGAGGGCTGAACATTCAGTTCTGTAAATGCCAAAGTCCTGATCTGACAGATTATTGAAAACGCGGTCTTAAGCCCTTCAAACTTAGTTTATGTGTCTGGCAGCCGTAACAAACAATGAGCTCAACCCAGGCTCAGCTCCTCGGCTCTGCCAGCTCTGGTTGTTAGAAGCTGCATTATTAAATTAGCATGTTTGCACCTCGTTGTTTCAGTTCAGTCCTGCAGAGCAGCGAGCAGCTGAAGCTGGTTGTCGGTCTGAATCCGTCTCTGTCCTCCTGGTCTCTGTCCTCCTGGTCCGTTCTGTTTACGTCTGTTTATACTCCGTCATCCCACTTTACACTCGCTCTGCTTTCATTTATCTGCCCGTTACTTTCACTCTCCCGCTCTGCAGCGGTTCACTGCTGCCATGACGACCAAACAGGAAGCAGAGAAGAATGAGCTGTGAGCACATGTGCACTGGAACACCCAGGAGCACATGGACCAACCATCTCTCCATCTGCTGCTCACTGGTCCGGCCCTGAACTAAACACAAACACACTGACTTGTGCTAATTTCCTGAAGACTCGCCCAAACCTAAACCCAACTTAACCCCAAGTCCAAAGCCTTCATCCTAGAAATGACTGATTTACGCTGCGAGGTCTTGATTTTTGTCCTCAAATGAAAGCTGAATCGCCGCAGTGTGTCTGCGTAAACACAATTATGTCGCCAAACGTGGGTAATTCAAGTACTCGCACACACGCACAGTAATCTGGCGAAGAGCAGGCAGCTATTAGGTTATATAACCTTTGACAGTTCCCAGCTGGCTAGTAAGGAAGGCTGAAGTGCTGGATCCTTCTCTGCTCACACACATGCTGAACACGCATGTACCTGAACACATACAGTCCTGGAAGCAGATTTTACAGCCAGCAGAAGAGCAGCAGAGCCACTCTGCACCGCGGGAAGCTGAGAAAGTGAAACTCGTGCATGAAAGACGCACAGAAAGTTTCCATCCAGCTCATCTGTAGCTGGGTCATTACGTAACAGACTGATTGTGATTAGTGACGCTGACGGCTGTGAGACACGTTTCCATTCACTGCTATGAAACCAGCTGTTTCCATGTTGTGTTCCTCTGTCTGCACTCACTTCTTCTGCTGTGATTTAAAAGCAAAAACACTTAGCTGCCAGTATTTACTCCACTGCATGTCCCAGAGCATCGCCTGACGGTGCCATCGTGGATTTATCAAAAAAAAAAAGGAACCTAACAACATGGAGGAGCTGATCTGTTGGACGAGCAGGAAAAAAGTTGGCATTCACAGGAGCTAAAACCACTGAAGTAAACCTGGGAGAACAGAAGAAGACTAAGAAATCAGTAACAGCAATTATTAGTCGGATCGACTGAGTACCAGAGATATGAAGTGGCTGCTCAGAGAACTGCAGAAGCAGAATGAAGTCAGAGGAAGTGTGGGGTCATTTTAGGTAAAAGAAAGCTCATCCAAACACTGGAGCTTGTTGACTTGTGTCCACCTGAACACCATCTGCTACTGAACACACCAACTGTCTAATGCATGGAGCTGTGAGCGTCTAAAGGTTTAAACCTGCTGCTCAACAGGCTGCAGGAAGAAGAAACGTGCAGCTGTTTGAGGTTTTAGTCAGAAAGCTGCTGGATACGACCTCATCGTGTGTTACTACCTTTAAAAAGAACAATGGGAGTCATGTCTCTTGTCTCTTGGTTTTCTTGGAATATCCACGATTGTGAAGCAACAACTCCAACAGAAGCAACAAAAGCATGAACAAAGCTTTTGTTTAGGGACTTAAAGCACCTGGTGGGATCAGGAACAATCACTGTCTTGGTGTAAATGCTGTGATAAGCTGCTTTTACTGAACCCAGATTTAACCCAAACCACACGTCTCCCCAAAGTGCTGCTGCTCCCAACATCAGGAGCACTAAATGGAAAGTATGATGTCTCTGCAAGAAGCAAAACAAATCCAGAACTTCTAGCTTCCGGGTAAAAACTTGGATTTCCTTTAATGATCACACGTCCTGTACATCTTTACATAGTTTGTGCATTATTTTGCATGAGAAAGCCACAGATGTACCTTCTGTGTGCCGCTTAGTGCACGTGACTCCCGTTTAAAGCCTGAACATGCATGCATGGTATAGATTACTGGTGTTTATAAATGTGTTCAAGAAGCTCCAGAGCTGCAGGGCTTTACTTCAAAGCATGAAGAAAACAGGAAGAACAAAACCATCGGCTTCTGGTCCAAGCTACAGCACACACACACAAACACAGAGTGATGTCGACACCTTCAGAACACAGCCTGTGAAAAACTAAAAATGTCTCCTGTAATATTTAAAGTGCTTGTTGTTCTCTATGCGTCGGTTCTGAGGCCCGTGGCGCTGAAGCCACTGAGGCTGCCGTGTTCTGGAGAACTGATTCTAGAACTCTACATTCTGGGCTGAGACGTGTTCGGTTCGTGTGCAGCTTCGCAGCCTTGAAACACACATTATGGGATGTTTTTCTCCTCGTTGGTTTAAAACAGAGGAGGGTGACAGTAAAGGCTGAGAGGGGCAGTTCATGAGGGGGTATGAGGGTGTTACAGTCCAGACATCCAACAGAACGGCGTGCAGCTTTGTCTGCAGGAGACAAACACCTCCAGGCTGTGGAACCATGAAGCTCTGAACATCATGAAAGAGCTTTGACATGCTAATGTGGTCGGTCGGTCCAGGTGCTCATCAGAACACTCTGGTCCACCGACAACCCAACGGAGAACAAAGCACGCTTTCATTTCAATTCAACCTGCCACCTGACAGCTTGTATTCATGTGAATAAAACATGAAGGCCTCTGGAGAATCACTGCTACCAGCCAACGACTACAGGACATCCGCTCATCAGGATCTCTACAGATGGATGCATCATGCTAGCAGTGGAAGGAAATTCAAACCTCTTCCATCCCATCACTTCCCATTCTGGAGCAAAAACATCCAGAATAAAATAAACGGCTGTAGCTTATAGACCAGTCAGTGAGAAGAATTCATCATTTATGTTCATAGAAGTTCACATTTGTGGAACTTTTGTCGTCAAAATGCTGCAAACAGGCTGACAGTGTTCACTGTGTCCTCAGGCTGCTCTTCTACTCAACACTTGTGGAACAAAAGAAAATTGATGCTATTTTTGCACAGACAAGCAAATTCTGAATCCTCAGACACCAAATATGTCCACGGCTTTGATGGTTTTGATGGTTTTGATGGTTTTGTGCACAAATCAAAGAAGGGAAGCAGGAGAACGATTTGAGCTGATATAAAGTCTAACAAAGATAAAAACTGTTCAGACACCAACACAGTCCTCTGAAACCCGCCAGACATGGATCAGTACCACAGAAATGGGTGTACGTACCCGGACTTCTTTCTGCTTGATTAAAGGATACAGTCCCAACCAACTGGAACTCAGAATAGTTGTCACACTTCCAACTGCTGAACCAATGGCAGCGCGAGTCCTTCATGTAGGTGAACATTCCTGGAACCACAACACAAACATCATCAGAAACCTGAAGCAAACTAGACACGTGTGGATTAAAAGGTAAGGCAGGTAGGAGGAAGGAGGGGATGGAAGAGGATGAGACTGAAGAAGCATGAAGACAAAGTGACCCAGTGATGATCAGACGTTGTACAACGACCTGAGCAAACTGTGGAGTTGACCTATGAAGCAAATACTGATGTTCTCTCCTAGAATAAGGAGAACCTCAAGGAACTCTGAGGATCTTCAAAGAACCCTGCCTGCTCGGAAGGTTTCCGGAGGAATTCAGAGAACAGGCCAGAGAACCCCAAACCCCACGAAGAATGTTTGTGTCAGGATCTCTGTGAGCAGTTCCTCCACAGACAGCAGTGAGGAACCCCAGCAGGTTCCTCCAGGCTCTTCTACTCCTGACAGTCCCATCGGAGTTTAACTCTGACACCACTTTTACGAGAGACTTTATTTTACTCAGTCTGTTTTCTGTTAAAGGTATTTTCCAACTGCAGGAATTTGTGGGGTCGTTTTAGGGCGCCCCGGCTGCAGGAACTGCCCCCTAGAACCTCTTTCTGGGCTGTTTCAGAGGCAGGACCAAACCTCTAGTGCAGGTCGCATACTTCTGAGCTTCCCTGAAAAGCTGCTAAATGCAGTTTGGTGCTAAACGGCTAAATGCATCTTTCCTTGTTGTGTCACAGTCTTCTCTAAAACATTCACTTTAACACTGAGAGCAAAACTAAACATAACATTAACATAGCATAGCAACATGACATAGCATAGCATAACATAGCATAGCAACATAACACGGCATAGCATAGCATAGCATAGCATAGCATAGCACTTCAACAATTTTCCTGCGGTACCCTACCAAAGGGATGAATGAAGTTCTATCTAATCTAATCTAATCTGATCTAATCTAGCGTAGCAACACAACACAACATGCTGTATCTCCTACGTGCTACAGAACCAGATAAAATCCAGTAAATATTTGTTGTAGCTTTGGCACAGTTGGAGCTAACATTTCAGTTAAAGCTGTTCAATCCAGTGGAAAGCAAGAAACCAAAGGCTGGAGGCCAGTTCCTGTAAAACTCTGCACCACCTCACGTTTGTCCTGAAGCCTGCAGTGGAAAGCCATCGTTGTATTTGCTGGCCTGGGTCACTAACTTCAAAACCAGACAGATCTGAACACACAGAGCATGAAGCTGCTCCATCTGGGTCAGGAGATGTAATCTGTTCACCGGTGGTGACGATGATTAGATTTACTGCTGACTGCTCAAACCGTCTCTCTGGGGTGATCAGGATGATCCCGACCTTCCTAACAACGGAGAATCATGAACCAATTAATCAGTGGGAGAGAAAAGAGACGCAGGGATGGAAGCCAGATGAAGGCAGAAGCACAAAGAGCAAATTAAAAAAGGAAAGAATAATGGAATACAAATTGAAGAATAAACAACCAAGTGTTCACAACAGCTACCACCTACAAATGTAAGAACTTAGAATAAAATCCAACCATCCTGCTGACTGTGTGACGTGTTCATCATGCTGCCCAGTGAAGCTCGTCTCAATCTGGAAATCTGTAATCATTCTTTATTTAAATTATCTTTAAAGGCGTCAGTTCTTATCTGGAGGTTCCTCTGCATCACCTGTCAACACCTGGTCCACGGTCACCGTGTGTTCAGTTGTTGACGTCTTTAGTGAGAGTCAGAGCGACTTTAGAAAGAAGACGAGAGGATAACGAGCAGGTTGTGAAGCTTTTCCAGCTCCGAGGAACAGCAGCGGTCTGTTCTGAGCCGAGACGCACATCTGGACCGCTCACATCTCCGACACCAGAACCCGACACCGCTTCATGAAAGGGCCTGTGTGTGTGTGTGTGTGTGTGTGTGTGTGTGTGTGTGTGTGTGTGTGTGTGTGTGTTTTCCCTGCTGCTGCTGCTGCTGCTAATGAGGGGAACACAGCTTTCATTGAGTGTGTTGCTTTGGGCCGACGTCCTCTGGCACCGAAAAACACCGACGACCGCGGAAAGATGGAGCGACGATGGAAAGAACAACCGAGAGCGAGCGAGACGTCGAAGACACAGACGCTCGCTTGGTTTCTGTTCAAGGAGTTTTTATGCAGATCCCAGCTCGGTGGAGAAGGCTGAACCAGAATATCACCAGTGGAAGAAGAAGATTGTTTCACCCTGAAGTGACGTGAGAACGTTTCTGGTGGACCTTCAGCAGCCGTGATGGAAACACACTGAACAAAATGATGTGGGTTCAAATAGCGGCTCTGAAAAGTGTCAGTCTGCTTTTTAAAAGTGGACATTTGAGAAACAGTCGTAGAACAAACTGTGACCCGGCCGCTGGTTGCAAAATAAAATTAAAGGATTAAAAAAATAATAATTTATTGTCGGCAAAACCCACCGACAGACTTTATTAATCCCAGTAACTGTTGCTCAAGATTGTGGAAGCTGTGAATTGTGCAAGAAAGGAAAAAGTACAGGACGCTCCACAAAGCAGGAGGGTAGGGGTCCAGCTGCAGGTAGGATACAACAGGAAGTCAGAGGGGATCCTAAAGGTCTTCATGTCCAAAGCAGAGCTCTGCTGTTGAACAAAAACTGTTCAGAATGCATCAGTGAGTCCCACTTCTGGGCTGGAAGACATGTTCCTTCATTACCAGGAACAATACGCCTGTACAGATGCTCTGATGGCAGGAGCTGCTCTGCTAGAAGCTCTTTCAGGAGCCAGACCAGAATCTGCTCCAAGGCAGGTACTGACTACGTAGGGTTCAATGCTGATGGGTTAAACATGGCCGAGCCCTCCAGGTCCTTGTCTTCACTTTAACCCTCTAGCTAGTGGACTCCAGTTCTGTTGTAGTTTGTCAGCTCGGAACAGAATCACAATGGAAACGTGCAGATTAGGGGGTGGTTTTCAGAAACGTTCACGCCACATAGCACCTACTGCTCACTACATCATCACATGTGTAATGCTGAACCAGGCTCTATCACAGGACTTCTTCTGGAGCTTGGTAAATGAGATAACCTTGGACACCACTGTGCCGACGAGTGCCGGCTGTTCAGCAGTTTGTTGGCTCTGCTCAGACAACAAGGAGGCTTCTCTGAATGAAAAGCCCACTCTGGCTAGTGTGAGAGCAGATTGAGGAGCGTCTTCCAGTTTGATTTATGGACGCTGGACATGCGACGAGTGGATTTGTGCGTGTGTTTAGGACTGGCTGAGGAGGAACTGTGTCGTAAACTGTGTCGGTGGGATTGAAGGACTCAGAGAGACGAGAGGCCGACAGACATGCAGACATATTACAGCCAGAGAGAGGAACACAGTCAAAATATGAAACTGCCTGAAATGAGAGTTAATTGCAGACTTTGCAAAACCAACAGCGACCGCTCCGCTCAGCCATCTGACACTTATTGCTGCTGCTCGCTGACCTGAACGCTCTCAGGACTCGTCCACCGAGGCCCGGCTCATAAAAATGTACTTTCCACTTTTATCCAATAAAAATATGATTTTCTTTCCGCTTGTTCTCAATAAAGTGCGGCTTCACTTTCCGCTGCCTGCGTATCAGACGGACTGAGCTTCCAGATTCACAACCTTATCTGGTGCTCACAGCTGCTCCCTGAGGATCTGCTCAAAGAACCGCGTTTCCATTTATCTAGCAGAGGCTGGTTCAGTGTGAACGAGCAACACAACAAGTGCTTCTGTGTCTGACAAAGGGCTCGATCACTGGACCTCACCGTAGTCCGTGTGGAAGATCTGTCGCACCAGCAGCAGGAACCACTCCTTGGTCAGGCCGCCCATGTCCAGACCGGCCTCCCCGACAAACGTCACCCGCAGCTTCTTCTTCAGGTCGCACCGCTTCCTCATCAGCTGCAGGAAGAACAAACAGGATGTTGTTCTGCACAAATGATTGGTCTGTGAGAAGACAGTCTGGAGGACATTCTTCACCCTCGCTGTCACATCGTTTGCAAAGTTGTTTCCTTCAGACTTCAAATGCAAAAATTAAACCATCATGTAAACTTCTGCAGACGAAAAATTAAAGACAATTAGTCTGAACCTCACTGCTTCAGATTTACGGTTGGGTTGAGACCGAGTGTTTGAGGTCGACACATGAATGCAGAACATTAAAGGCATACTTGCTGGTCCTCAGCTGCCTCTCCCAGTGTTCCCACACCACAAAATTTGCTTATTTTCTTCCTCACAAAAAGTCTATTTGTCGCTTGTTATCAAACCCTCAGTCTGAAACGTTCCAGCCGAGACGTCCGTCTGTGACATGAATTCCTTCCTTCATTCGCTGCAGACAGTCTGTGCATTTGGTAACTAAACTGAGATACGTTAGAGATGAATCTGTGGAACAGAAGAACCTGAGGCTGTTCTCTTCCTGGTTGGGGCTAGAGGTGTGAGGGGTTCATTCAAACGGCACCAGAACTCCACACATACATCATTAAAACATGTCTTAATGCTCTGCTCAGTTCAAGACTTTGGGTCATTTTGTTTCCATAACGTGTCATCTTTAGAGGAGAAAAACAGTCCAAAACACAAAGGTAGGAGTTTATTTTACTAGACTTTGTGTATTTGTGCATATTTCAGGTACGATAAACTCATTTGGAGGCTGTTTCCTCCAAATGAGTTTTTCCTCCATCTACGACTCAGAAACCTGCACATGCACCAAACCCTCCGGCTCTGGTTCCTTCCATGTGTTGAAGGTTTGTTCATGAACGATTCACAGCCTGATTTAAGGAACATTTCATTTCTAAAATGGATTTTCACTGGCTGTATGTTCTAATTTAAAGATGCATAAAAATCCCCTCCATAAAAACATCTGACTTCAACATGTCGACACAATAAATTAATTTAAACTTTATTCTATATATTCAGATTTCTGCTCTGGAATTAAATGCAGCTGCTGCATATTTAGATCATTCTTAATATACATATTTAAAGATTAAAATTCAGAAAACTTGTAATACATAAAATAAGTGTTATTGGAAGTAGGAAACTGGGAAATGTTCATGTTGATGCTGATTAGTTAAAATATTTTAATGATTTAGTGAAAGTGTCTAATTAAACCTGATATTCAGGAGCTTCATATTTTACGTATTAACTGTAGATTTTGTTTGAAATAAATAAAAATGGCATTAACCTACGAACCTGCACACAAAACATTTTATTTATTCATTTAATCATATTTATTTTTGCTAATTTATTATAATTAAACAATGAAATCTCGACTATTAAATGCTCATTTTACATCCTTTTCACAGACGTCCACCAATAAAGGCTTTCAAATCCAGCGTCATGTGACCCCGAGACCAACAAGCTGATTGGCTGCTCCAAACGGAATCAGTGCACATCTGCTTGTTCATTATTTTCTCATATGTTGTTTTAGATTTCTGCTTTTCAGGACCGACGTGGAGCAAACCAGTGACCTGGAGGCTGTGATCATGTCTCACCTCATCCAGTGAGTCGCTGAGGAGCTGCGCTCGTCGTACTTTAATGTTGAGGAACAGAAGGTTCATGTCGACTCTCTGCCTGCGAGAAACTTTACTGACCAGACTTTGCTGTGAAACACAAACGCACACGTTAGAAGTCTGTTGATGTGTGATGTGTCTGTGGGATGCTGTAGGAGGCTCACCCTGGCCTGGCTGATCATCTGCTGCTCCGAGTCTTTCTGGATGATGGCTTTCTTCACCACCGTCGACAGGATGAAGGGAAACTGACAGAAGGAGAACCTGAGAGAGCAGAAGACGTATACAAAGTTAGCCGTCCTGAAAGGGTGTTACGTGATTAGTTTTGCTCTCATCTGTTACAGAAATACAGACGTCTTTACAGCCTGCAGAGCAAAACGACTCTGAGTGTTTTAAAGTGACACGTTTGACTCAAACCAACAGGTTTAAACCCTCCGAGCCACACGAGTCTCCAGCCAGGGACTTTCAGAGGCCGTCGTCTCAACTCTAAACTCTGGATCCATTTTCTTTATCGACGTTAACGAGCCGTGACGCAGCGTGAAACAGACGTCGTGGCTTCTGCGAGTGTTTCCACGGTTCTGGATAAACGGCAGCTGTGGGAACGTTGCTTCACGTCTGCTCGGGACGACAGACTCAAACTGACTTCCAGGAATCTTCAAACGCTGCTAACACGGCTCTCGGTCACGGGCTGCACTTAGTCAGGCTGATGTGCTGTCACGTGGCTGCTGGTTCTGGTCCACATTAGCAGCCAGACCAAAGCTTTCCTTAGAAAACTCACATCCCGGCCGTCTGCGCTCCATCATTTGGTAGAAACTGGCAGCAGAGCAGCTTCTAGTTCTCATCGCTTAGTGCTGACACGACTCATTTAATGATCCTGTGGACTTCCAAACCCAAAGGAGGCTTAAAAAGAAATTTATTTTACAGCTAAACACGATAAAAACAGCAAGACTGATCAGACTCTAACCTTCCACCAGCTCTCTGACGTCTCATTACTTTGGGAAAATGAACTGAATCTAAGATTAGAATCAATCAATGATTCCTACATGTTTTATGTAAACATTTGTCAAAAATAGAGCGTTTGCATGAATCGCATTCTGTTCTGAGCTCCTCGGTGCATCTGACGAGCCCTGACGAGCTCCTCTGGACCAACAGGCAGAAGATAAAGACCTTTTCAGCTGAACTGTGTGTAAGGACAGACGTATGGAGACATGACCGAAGCACCTCCGTGATCACTTAAAGCTGCTCTGTCAAGTTTAACCCTCTGAACCCCAAAGCCCACGGGCACATCTTTAAAACAAAAAAACATCTATAATGTAAAAACTGACCCAGTTGTTGGAGCCAGTGACTGTGAAACCAGAAGGACTTGTTGGATCTGTAGCTCCTTCATGAAACACAACCAAACCAAAGCTACAAATTTGTGATATTTCATCACAATGATGTTTCTTTAAGGGTCTCATTTTTAAAAAACTGCCAACAATAGAGCACAACTACAGACGAGTTCACCGTAACAGTCACATGACAAAGACTCAGATGCTTTGGGATGCAGTGCACACAGAGGAGATGATCACAGATGGAAGCAGTTAAACATCTCCAGTATGTGGACACAACATCTAGACACGCCCACTGGCTTTGTTGTAAAATCACAAATTAAATCATTTCAACTTTCGACTTTTTCTTTGATGATGATTTATGGCGCTATAACTGTCGCGCTCCACAGAAGACACGTCTGAGTTCTCTCTCCTTCTGGTCGTGGTTGTGCCGTTTCCACACAGCCGCAGGAAACCAGAGGATCCCAGCAGCCAGAGAAAGAGTCTGACCTGTTTGAGTTGCCGTAGCTCTGCCAGGTCCGGTACTCCTCCATGAAGTCTATGTGCTCCAGAGTGATGTTGTAGAAGTCAGTGAAGGGCATGATGGGAGGAGACGAGACGCTGTTGGCTGCATCTGGGAGGAGGAAGTAGACAGAAAGTCAGATGTGAGTGAACAGCGTACAGACACAAGCAGTCAGTGTTTGGTGTATGAGCGACTCACTGAACAGGCTGAGCACTTTGGTGGCCGAGGGGATCCACCAGGAGCACTTGGTCAGAGGAGGAAGGTCGTCCGGCTCAGCGGGGAACAGCCGGGTGGAGATGAACTGCAGGAGGCGCTCCACCAGCTGCCTGAAGCGCCGGGCCGACAGCCTGAGCACACGGACACACAGAGTTAACAGAGCGGCGGCGGCGGCGGCTTGGCAGAGCAGAGCTGCACATACCCTGAAACATACATACGAGCAAAAATAGACGCTGGAAGGCAGCAAAAGAAGAGGAAAAAATAGCAGCGCTGGATGGAGAAACTGGGTTTCTGGATGGGAGCAGAACTAAACAGAACTTGTAATTTGAAGCAGCTTGCTAGTAAATCACAGCCACAAACAGCACGGATCCAAACGCTGTGTCCAGCCAGAGACGCAGACACACAGAAGCTGGCGTACAGCTGTCCTGGCTGGCGGCGGCGCCGAGCTTCAAAGCCTCCACTGCACCGCTGGACCACGTTCACGTGCTGCAAAGTTCATGAACAACGGAATAAATCAAGACGGGAGACGTTTGTGGAGCAGCACAATGTTGTTGTCTGACTGGACAACACTGAGAAGCTCTCTGGCAGTCGGTGTGCCGATCACGTCTGGTTCTGTTGTTCCATTAACGCTGTGAGAGCGTCGTGACTCAGCAGCAGAAGATACCAGCAGCCAAGTGTTTGTCAAGTCACTAACCAAGGAGTGTGTGTCTGCTCTTCATGTCTCAGTGGCTTATCCCATCTACTTGACGCTTGGTGGGCGTTTTGCTGAGGACACGAGGAGCTGAGTGTGAAGCTTCTGGGTCCACAGAGCAGGTCACCGTCATACATCTGGACATCAACAGCAGGAGCTCTGTCACATATGCTCTAGTGACCACTGCTAGGTCCTGGAGAGCTAACATCACATCCTGTGTTGGTCAGCAGCTCAGTAGTCCAACCTTCACATGGAGGACATAGCTGGTGGGTCTGCAGCCACCACCAAGAGAAGAAACTGCAGCTTTCCCAGTGGCAGAGCCTCAGATTCTGGAAAAGGAGTGTGAGGTCATGAGCACCACGAGCGTTGGTGCACCGTGATTTAACTCCCCAGACCACTAACGTACCTGGAACTTCTTGAGGTGTTTGAACGAGAACATTCGGTGCAAACAGCCTGAATGTGGCTCGACCGTTGGACGGCCACAGCAACCCGATCATCACTCAACACCAGCCCTGGCTCCTGGCCACACCGTTCTCCTCCCCAACATGAAGCTCAAGTGCCACCATGTTGACCCTGTTCAGGACCTTCAGCGTCCGCCGTGTGTGCGGTTTGACATTTCTACACAACAGGACCTCCACGGAGTCCTGCGAGCGCTGAAGGAGCTCAGGAGCAGAGCGGGACTGCACAAGGACGCTGCTTTAAGTCATGTAGGGTTTATAGTGTTGCTGTTTTACGATCAACAGTCTCAGAACCGTCTGATTGCATCCTGGTCCTTGCCTATGTGAGGACCAAGACCACGTCATGGATTAGGACGACGACAGCTGCTCCCAGTCAGAGTGGATGCAAATATAAGCAAGCGTCGGATAAAAGTCGAGTTTATGCTGACGTAGCAAAAGGATGCCGTCTCCATGATGGCAGTTTGTTTTGTGTTTTCACTAAATGCAGCCACAGGAGACTTAAACACCCTCCAGCTGTGTGGTTGTCCATGTGGTCTCTGTGCTGTCCTGGGCTCCCGGTGCCGGTACCACTCCTCACCTTTATTTGGTACAAACTCTAAATAACAATGAAATAAACTAAATTATGACCCGAAACTCAACGAGGCCAGAGCAGCTTTGGACCGTTCTCAACACTTGTTGCAGGACGATTTGGGTCGGCACCGAGGCGGTGTTGACCTCTGACACCCCGTCCTAATACGAATCACGTTAATCATCTTCATTCAGCGCTCTGGCATGCTCGAGGCTTCCACACGCCGGGAAGAGTTGGCACAAAGTCCAACTGTGTGGCCGGACTAGAGGAGGAAAAACAAAGACGCAGATGAAAAACAAGCTGGTTGCTCACAAGAATGCAACTGCTGCGTTGTGTCAGAGGCCGGGGGCGGCAGCGAAGCGACAAGAGGGATCCATCACGCCCGGCGCCGTGTCAGAGATCTGCATGAAGCGGCGAGCCAGAGAGCATTTCCTGCCAGAGATGGAAACACTCTGAATTTACGTTCCCATCTCACAATCAATCACCTGCTAACCCTGCTGCAAGACGAGACGCCAAGAGCCAGAACGCCTACACATCCAGCAGCTATTCACAGAGCTCCAGGTCAGCCAGCCTCCACAGAGGGCTTCACAAGCTGCTCAACATACAACACGACTCTCATCTGACCCAGTTTGGATACGAGAAGAACAACAAAGGCTTTGATCCTGTTGTCAAACCTGACAGTTTACGGGTTTATCCAGAACCTGTTGCCTGTAGGTCACCAGCGCTAGAAACATAGAAACACACTTTGGACTTACTTCTTGAGCCAGTGAACCAGGAAGTGGTGGTCGGCCTCAGATAAAGCTGCGATCTGCCTCAGCAGGTGAGCGTAGATCACGTAGGTGCTGGTACTGGAGTACTGAGGGTTCTGTGCAAAGAGAGCAGAACAACACTGTGACAGTCAGATTAGACAGAACTTCAGAGAGAACGAGGCTGATCTGGTCCACGTTTGGTGCAGAAAGTGACTCCAGAAGATCCAACATCTGAGCTGAAACCCTGACGTGGACTTCTTCCTCTCCGCTGCATGTTGTGACACCTCCGGAGTTTAAAGTCTGCATGGAAGGATCATTTAAGACCTGTTGCTTGGTCCTGTTCTGGTGTGTTTGTGCATCATTTCTGTGTTTATCTTCAGCAGACTTCAGTCACGCGCTACGTGCAGCGTTCTTGTTCCTCGTTGAACTCACACACCGACACATTCGATGAACACGTGATCGGAGGCAATGCTAGCTTCTAGAAGCAGCTGCTTCTCTATGAGAGGATGGCATCAGCCTGCACGCCACACTGTGCTCCATCAACTCCAGGCTGAGTGGTGATGGGTCCACGTTGGTTCCCCCAAGAACACCTAAATGCTGGACCTTCACATAAGGTCTGTCACCTTCATAATCTAATTCATTCTAAGGAGTTGTAACATTGCATTTAAGATTTTAAGGCCTGAAAGTACAACTATAGGATGCTAGACATTCCTGAACATTTGGACAGTTTCAGTGGAGAACAGGAGAAGAGAGGAACAGAGAAGGACGAGCAGTAAATGTCCAGCAGGACCTCTCTGTGTTGTGAACTAGCCTCACCCTAACCTGTGCAGGTGAGAAGAAACACACCCCCACCTCCAGCTCCATCTCCATCTCCACCTCCACCTCCTCCTCCACCTCCACCTCCACCTCCACCTCCACCTCAGGCCAAGCAGAATGTTTGGTGATGACTAAACATGTGACGTGTGTTCAGAAGAACGTTGGAGATGCTGCACTGATGACAGACACCACACTGGGCCACACATTGTGTAACAGATAATTAAATCAATAAGAATAAAACTTATTGCACAACACGTTTGATGGATCTGTGTGATCCAGAGCCGGGCTCAGCGTGGACCTGGGGGAGAAACCTACGTATGTGTTCAGAACATGGAAGTTTGTAGGTTCAAACCTCTGATCTGGGAACGTTTCAACCCAACAGCACATTTATTTGGACAAGAGGAAGAAGACAAATGGGCCTCATGTCTTCATTACAGAACTGAGCCAGCATCAGAACTCAAAGGACCGAAGGAGGAAGAAGACAGGAACTTGTTCAGATAAACCAGGAGGTCTCACATGTCTCCTGACAACATGCTCGACACCATCAGTGCTGGTTCTGATCCTTACAAAGTCCAGAGAGGCGGCTTCAGCTCCGAGTCAGAGTTTTAACACAGATGGAGGAAGAAGCAAAGAGAAGAACCAAAACCCAGCAGAGCCCACAAAGGAGGAGAGTCGTCATCAGATGGAAACCAGCAGGCCTCGGCTACACCATGACCTCACCCCGTCTGCTGTGGTTCTGTTCTCATGAGAGCTGCAGGACCAAGACCAAGTCCTCAGAGTCAGCCGGGACCGACTCAGAGGTCTGAGTGTTCTGATGGAGCGTAGAACCACAGCGGAGCTACTGTGGATTCCTGCCTTTATCTGATTCTGAGCCCACAACCTTATATGGACATCAGGCTGCAGGGAGGACGGGGAAAGGAGAGACGACAGAATACTGGACCGAGACGGGCCAAAGACAGGAACAGAGGAACAGAAAAAGAACCAGGAAGTGTTCTGGTGTGCTGACCCGCTGCAGGATGCTGACCGGCCTCCATGTTTAGTATCTACACATCAGCATCAGGAGCTGGTGAGACGTCGGCCCAACCTGAGCCCAGCTGTCTGGTCCACATCGGGTCTGATTTCATCAAACTGGTACCATTAAAGGAACGTTTAAGGAGCCACAAAAATGTGAGCGAGAAATGTAAAGATCCTGCACAAAAGCAGGTTTTACCTGAAGGACACCTGAGACAGGTAAAGACAGATGTGAACCCTGTGAACCCAGAATCCAGCGCAGCTTTAAAAGCATGTCGTCTTTAAAATAAAACGACACCATCGATCAGAGCCAGACACCATAAAAACAGACACAATAGTCAAAACTTCTACTTCCTGACGGGCCTTGAACGTCTCATCTGTGACGTTTGGTCAGAAACCCACCAGATCCAGACTCATGGTGTCATATCTCATTTAAACATTCAGCTTTTGGTTGAACTGCAGGAAGTGTTGACACGGAGCAGAGGATGGAAATAGATCTAAAATATCTGCTCCTCGTACTGGCAACACCTGGACATCTGCAAATGTTGGAAATACTGATTCTTTGTCTTTTTTTATGACATGCGGCATTAAAGCTGCGTCAGAGTGCACCAGACAAGCCAGACGTCCCGTCTACCTCTAGTCTGATGGTTCTGCTTCACAGAGCTGCAGGACTTCATGTCGCAGTGAGAAATGAACCCACAGTGAATCAAACTGCAGAGGGTGAATAATCTGTGTTTGACGCACAGCCTTCAGTGTGTCTCTGGAGGTTTTATTCTCACCTGAACAAGAATGAAATAAGCTCGCAGGTCATCTTTTGTCCGAGGCCTGAAAACAAAAACACAAGAGCAGAATGAGACGGCTAGCTGGAGACGAGCTGTAGATGAACCTCTGAGATGTGGATGTGCTCCAGTGTTCCTTCAACAGAACATCACAGCTCAGCTACATCCGTAGAACCATAAATCAGACTTAAGATCACAGTGGGTTCATTTGAGCTTGTGCTGCTGTGAAGCGGTGAAATAAAGACGAGCGGTGGCTCACCCCTTCCACTCCCTCAGCAGGCTGTTGATGATCCCCTTCAACACCGACTTCTGGATGTCCTGAGGCTGAAACACACGACCACAACAGGCTCAGTGTCCACAAACAGAAGCTTGAATCAACAGCGCTGAAGGTCAGCGACCCACAGACAGAAAGCACTGGGCGCCCTGTTTATCTGACCTCTACTTAACCAGGAAGGTCAGCTAGTAGCACGAGGACAGCGTGAGGTGTGTTCACAGACTTCACCCTGTGGAGCCCACAACCTGTCGGCACGTCATCTTCAACCGCCGAAATATCAACATGAATCTGAGCCAGAAACTGTGAAGTCAGAGGAATTGTTGGATTTTCTACTTTCAGACGCGTCTTTTCCTCTGAAAAGAACTCTGAGCTTGAAACTGTGATAATTCTGTATAATTCATATTTTAAAAAAGCACCAAAACAAGCAGATTTTTCAAACCAGATTCTGTAAAA